GAAAGGGTCAGCTCCCGACGCTGACTTATCCTACAGTGCTAAACTCTACCTCGCACCAAGCAAGGTGGATGCATCAAAAGCGTGGTATTAAAAGGATTACTACTTCCATCATCGCTCCTCAGAACAGAAGACGGGAGCACAATACGATATCCTATTCAAGCATCGTTTACGTTCGGACGACGACGACGATGACGCCGAATTATTCATATTAAATTGGATCGTTCGATTTTCGCTTGGACACATGAGGCGCCCACATAAGCTGTCACTAACAATGATTTACTCCCAACTTTGAATTTCGCTGACGTGACTCCCCGGGTGAGTCTCCCCCAATACTACCTGATTTTAAATCCACAGTTTTCACTTACAACCGTTCCCGCGGCGATTTTCTTGCCGTCTAACGGTAAAGTTTCCCCGTTGTTCACTTCCTCTCTCGATGGTGTACGTATCTTGAACAAAATACCAGTAAACTATGATTGATACCACCCCTCACTGAAGATAGTCTACTAAATAAGATAACGCTCTATACAACACCATTGCAATCAGCTGAGCCTCGAGACTCGACCAAACCAAACAATGGTCTTACAATGATCCTAGCCGGACCAATCTCGCACACCGGTTTGGTAAGCCCAGCCAAGCGGAACCTAGATAGATCTGAGCGACCTGATAATATGACCTCTTCCTCTACACCTGAATACACGCTTATGGTCCGTTTATGAGGGGTGTGCATCATTACCACCCAAGCCGTTCATGGCTAACATGTTGTTCTGAAAACCAATGGCAGGGGAGAGCTGCAACTCGTGCCACTCATCGTCGTGTTCAAAACGGAGAAGAACTTCCGATAGGGACATCTACGAAGGGGCAAAGTTACGGTATGGGCAGCTATAGGTTAAATTACCATCTTCATTCCAGCTCCTTTAGAAATCATATGCAGCTTCACCTCGCCCTCGACAGTCGGCACTCCATCGGCAACAGGTGACTGCAGGGAAGATTCGAGAAAAGTGTGGTACGGGAACATCCTCACATCATTCAAAGGCGTCATAGTGTACACTCCTCGATAAATCGAGCTGGGCTTCCCTACATTGCTACTGTCTAGAGCGGCTAAATATGATAATAACAAAACCATACGAGGAGAACCTCATCTACCAGCAAAGTT